ACCTATAACCTTTGGACATGGAAGAGTACCCTAAGAAGATACAACGAATAGATTTGTCATCTAACTTTGTGCGAGTGGGACTCCGATTTTGAACAAAATAGGTACACCCAAAGACAGGAGGTAAGAGTAGAAACAGAGTGGTGGTGGGCATAAAGGTATGAAACGGAGTAAGTCCATGCAACACACGACTAGGGATCTTATGAATGAGGTAAACAGTAGTAAGGACAGCCATATGCCAATAAGACTTGGGAACACCCATACCTTGAAGAAAACACCGGACAACAGACATAATATGACTGTTTTTACGTTCAACAACACCATTTTATTCAGGGGTCTGAGGACAAGTAAGTTAGAATACCAGTTTGATCAAGATGGGAATGAAATGCATTAGAAATATATTCCCCACAATTATCAGAACAAATAGTCCTAACAACTACATGAAACTGAGTTTTAACCATTTGTAAAAATTGGACAAAAATGGAAAAGATGTCAGACTTATGACGAATTACATAAACTCAAGTGCACCTAGTGTGATCATCAATAAAAATCACATAATATCTATGACCAAAAAAAGTAGTGACATGGGAAGGGCCCCAGACATCAGCATGTATAAAATCAAAAGAACTAAGAGCACGAGTCATGTGAGGGATATAGCTAGTACGGGGTATGCTTAGACAACTCACAAACCACACAATGGAATTTAAAATCTTTGCAAGCTTTATTAAATGATGGAAAAGTTGACATAAATACTAAAAATTAACAAGACCCATACGAGCGTGCCATAATTCTAAAGTTTGAATATTAAAAACACAATACATGGAAGCAGGCAAAACAAAGGTCTGAAAACTAACTGAGGAATAAGAAAAAGGCTCGTCTGGTGGATACCCAAAGTAGTACAACCCATCACGCTCATAGCCCTTGCCAAAAATCCTCTTCGAACTCAAGTCCAGTAAAAGGCAAGAGGTGAGTAAGAAGATGACAACACAATTAAATTGTTTGGCAAGACGACTAACAAATAAGAGATTATATGCAAAATTTAGAACATGTAAAACAGATGACAAAGTAATGGTAGGGAATAAAGACACTACACCCTTATAACGAATAGAGGATAACGAACCATCAGCAAGACACACAAATTGGGCAATAGTAGTAGGGACTGGTGAAGAAAGAAAAGAAAACTCACCCGTCATATGATCATTAGTCCCAAAATCCAAAACCCATGAGGGACTAACAGACCGAACACGAAAAAATAGAAGTATCTGTAGCGAGAGTAACGGTAGTAGATGAGGATAGGCTAGTCATGGTGGATTAATAAGGGCTAGAAAATACAAAATCACGGTAACACAGTTTAGAAAAATACAAGAAGCTGAAAAAAACTCAACGGCTAGTCCAAATAAATGCTACCGAACAAATCTGGTAGTCCACTAAATAAAAAAAGGCTAAAAAGTGCTTAATACATTAGCACCACACCCTAGAAAGGGGGGGGAAATAAGAAGGGACTGAACTGCTCTAGAAGAGCTGCTGAAGCATCTATGGCTAGGAAATACCCTAGTCTACAACCAACAAGACCCTCGGCAGCACTATGGCAGCCTATCGAGGGGTATAGAGGGTTGGGTAAGTGGTTTTGGGGGTTCTAGGCTGGCTGGGTGGGGTTGTCAGGTGAAATAAAGGGTTGGAAGGGAATTGTCGACACTCAAGGAGGAAGGAAGAAGATGAGATAGTGGCTGGGCAGAGAACTAGGGTTTCTGTGTCATGGCTCTGATACCAAAAAGGATGAAAAGAACGATTTGGCTTACCAATCAATGAGGTAGAGGCCATGTATATATAATATATTCATGATACAATTTAGGAAACAATACATAAGGTAAGATTCCTATAATCAAAATAATTCCTATTCTAATTCTTATTCTAATTTCATATTCAAACATAATATTATGATTTGTATATTCAACATGCACCTCTTGGCCCATGAAATTAGCTTAGGGCACTCTGGTTCTACACTGAAGTTACCAAAGGTCTCATAAGTGTAAAACCAGCTTTAAAAGGTGACAAGAGCAATGTCTACAAAGCCAAAGGTTTCACCTCCAAAGTATAGCTTGTCACCAAGTTCTCCCTATAATATGTTGAGAGATTCTATGAATCCCTTCTTGGGAGCTTCTTTCTTTTTTTCATCTTTTAAAAATAATATCTCCCTCCCAAAATCATACACTTGCAATTCATATGTTAAAATAATGGCAATATCTTAGATAATTGGGTAAATTGTACTTTGCCCCCCTTTATATTTGGTTATTTTCTCATTTTAGCCCTTGAAATTTAGTGTATTTTTGTTTACAAAAAAATATAAAATTTATTAAATTATTGCAAAAATATATATATATATATATTTTTATTTTTTCAAAAACTAATTTTCATTGGGAAAATAAGAGGACAGTGGTGCCAGAAACTAAGTGATAATTATTGATAATTAAAATCATACACTTTTCTATGAATCTGTTCTGTAATAACTTGAGAAAAATATCATTTTGCGTTTCAAACCATTATTCAAAAATCAATTCAACAAATGTTATTTTAATCATATCAATTTTATACCTAAACTATTCGATTTTATATCAATTTTACTGACATCGTCAATTGTCCTCTATAATCAAACATAAATTATTGATGTGACACCAAAACTTCATTTAAAATTTCATTTTAGACCCCAAACTATCCCAAAATATCAAACCTCTGAATAAAATGAAGTTTGTGATTCTAATTGATATTTTAGACATAGTTTGAAGGATAAAATGAAATTTCAAACTAAGTTTCAATGTCACGTCAGTACTCCCGTTTGATTATAAACGACAACTAACAACAAGATAAAACTGATCCAAAATTAAATAATTTAAATGTAAATTTAATATTATTAAAAGAATAGAAATTGAATTGATTTTTTAATGATAGTTTTCAGGGAAAAAATGATATTTCCTCTAAAAAAAATTATTACACTTGTAGACACCCCATTTTTTACCGCCCTTAAGACTTGGGCACTACTGATGGTTTACTTGGTGGTGAAAGGTGTTTAGGGCAAAAGTCCGATTTCTTCGGCAAGAGGAGAATCAAATCCTAACCTCACACCCCATTTTGGACCAAAGCTATTTTGAATGGTTTTTAGACCTTAAAACCCTCTCTTTCAAAACCTTTTTGAAAATAGGTTCTTACGATGTCCCGACGCTCGCATTTTGTTAAATGTCACGCCTTTTGGTAAACCGAGCGAGGACAAAGTGGAAATGAATGAAAGAGAGATGAACTCTTTGAAAAATATTTCAAAACACCTTACTTAGGGGTTTGGAGTTGAAGAAAAGAAGAGAAGAGGGAAGAAACTAGTTTGGGAGAAGTTCGGCATGAATCCGGGTAGGAGAGAGTCGAGCAGCCCTCGCTGAATCGGGCTTATTCATTTTCATACTTGGATTCTAGCTATGAGGCCACCACCGTTGGAAATCTTACTTCCGGGGCTTCATTTTGCACTCAAGAATCTCCTAAATCCAATTTTACACTGGTCTAATTTAATATGCGACTTCGGGGGTAATTCCTCCACTGCAATGCACAATTTAAACTGTGTTAAAAATGTAGATGCCCGTATAATGTTATTTTTTGTGACAGTCATATAGCTTTACAGCGAAAAGAAGAAAGTTTCTAATTTTTATCTTTAGATATTTCAAGGATATTCTATACTATAAAATCGTATTATCTCTTTTCGCCACTTGAAATAAACAGTATTCATTATTATGAAAATATGATAAATAAAATTTATTGTCCAAGATTCGTAACTTTGTTTTAAAGTTATATAATTTAGGAACTTAGTGTACTAATGTAACATATTGGAATTATTAGTTTTTCTTTCTACAGTCTTATATTATTAAGTATTATTTTGTTCGCATTCCTTTTGGTTATCTTAGTAAAATATGTCTTGAAATAACGTATTGTGTGAGATTTAATTAATTTAATTTTTAAATAATGTCAAGCATATAATCATATGCCAATGTCTTAAATACTTAGTACAATAAACTTTTATAATGCAACGTCCTAAGCATCCTTATAATTAATTCCCAATTCTATATAACACAACATCAAATTAAATACCAGTGAGTAAAATTATTGAAAATTAATGGGACCAACTTAAGCCCGGAAGAGAATGGAATGTCTGGTACCCCTATCTGCTCAGAAAGATAACCGCAGGGCAAATTCCAGGCACTTAATTTATTGTCGCCAAAGTATTATTTGAGACGGTGGAAATTGCCGTCGCAAATTTTTTTTTTTTTTTTTTGCGACAGCATATTTCTTTTTTGTGACGGCATTGATTATGTCGCAAAAAAGGTTTTTGATTTTTTGCAACAGTATGATGCCGTCGCAAAAAATGCATAT